TTGATTACTTTCCCTTTCAATAGGACGTCGGTTAGGACAGATTCATGTACCGTGAGTGGGTCTGCGTTGGCAAGTCTCGGATCTCCCAGAAAGTTTGATTATCTATCCCGAGGAACCAAACGTTGAACTACTTTGAATCTTGTCTTTATTATTTCTTTTTTTATTTATCTTTTTGTATTCTGTGTTCATTTTAAAATATTAATTGTTTGATATCCCCTGGTTTTGGGTGCGGACTTTATCAACCTGTGTCTCTGAATTGGGCGGCCGGGAGGGGGGGTGTGTCACATATATGGGCCTCCAATATGAAGTTGGGCTAGAAGTGAGAATCCCTTGGGCTTATTATTTTCTTGGCTCCAATCAATTTGTTGGTCCCATATTTGATTTAGGGTTTGCCCTTTCTATTTCAAAAAGCTGTCACAGGTCTATTTCAGTAAGCTTAAATAGATTCTTGAGCGTTCAGTGCATTACAGAGATTCACAAGACTAGTATTGTCATTTTACATTTATGAGGTATTACTTGAGATAGCTTAAGGAAGTTACATTGTGTTAACAGTGCTTGTTACAGTCAAATTAGGGTTTACAGGACTGGTTCATAGGTTAATATTTGGCTATAGAGTTATTTAGGGGCAATTAAGTCTTTTCACATTTGTATTATATCATAATACACTTGTTTATAATAGTACAGTGTATTGTAATCCTCTTATTCTGTAACAACCATCACCCTAACCAGACACAATATTGTCAGCTTTTGGCTCTCCCAAACCAGAGACTTCCTAGGGGGTTACTCATCCCGGTACTATTCTAGGTTAAGCACGCTTAACTTCGGAGTTCTGGTGGGTTCACGACCATCACGACTTTAAAACGCATTGTGTCATAGAAGAGCGTTAAATCTACATAAATCACTTGCCCTAACCATACCCAGGCAATGTGGGATTGTGCACGTGTAGCTCGCTCAATGTGGTAGCTAACTAGTGCTATCTGCACACCTTTACACACACCCACCCATAAGGTTGCCACAATCACCCCCCTTTGGGGCCTAATGTCCCCGTTGGCTATAATTCTGGTTGGGTCAGACTTTGATACCATTTGTAACAACCCTTACCCTAACTAGACACAATATTGTATATTTTTGGCTCTCCCAAACCAGAAACTTCCCAAGGGGTCACCCATCCTGGTACTACTCTAGGTTAAGTACGCTTAACTCTGTAGTTTTGGTAGGTTCACGGCCATCACGGCTTTGAAACGCGTTGTGTTATAGAAGGGTGTTGAATCTACATATAACACTTCCCCCATCCACACCCAGATGATGTGGGATTGTGCACGTGTAGCTCGCCTAGTGTGGTAGCCTACTAGTGTCATCTGTATACGCTCATACACACCCGCTCACAATTTTACCACATATTCACAGTTTAATCAAGTGTCCACAATTGCAGCTACAAAAAACTGTGTATATTGACAAGTGTCCCTTACAGGGGTATTATGCTCAATGTAATTGATAAGCATACTTATGACATGTGCCCTATGATCATAGTGTGAGAAAATGAAGCTTGTTATTCAGTGCTTAATAGTTAAGCTTGATATATATCACTGGTGTACACATATACATAAGCTATCAATTTACATGCTCACTAGAGGACAAAATAGTGAGTTGTAGCAAGGGCATTGTGGTCCTTTCACTAAGACAATATCATGATATTCTCTGGAAAATGATTGGTAGTATGCCATATGGTTTTCCTCTTTAAGTTAGGACTACATTCCAATGTACCCTATATATATGCTATTATAGAAAGTGAGCCTCTTAAGGCCAAATTTTGAGCATCTTTTGTGAGCATCCTTGAGCTACATTAAAAAGCATTCGAGACACCAAGAATAATGACAAATGTCTGAGTTTTGATAATATTTTTAGAGCTGAATTCAACTCAGAGATATACATGGTGTGTGTGAATCATTGAATATGAAGATAAATGTGGCTTTGAGGTGTGTTGTTGCTGCTGAAGAGAGGTCCAAAGGTTCAATCCAAGCTTGAGGACATTTTAGAGGGTTCCAAAGGTTGAAGTAAGTTAGTTTTACCATTTTACAACTGCAGGACTTGAGGTTATGTTTATATTTCTGCTGTGGTTGATTTTGACGTCTCAAACCTTAACATAAGCCTTATTTTTATGGTTTAGTCTTTTGTCATAAGTATATATGCATGTTATCTTGTTGCGAGTTGAACTCTTATCATTTGAGCAAGTTTCTATAGTTGAATCAAGGTTGTGGAGGTTTTGAGTTGGACAGAAATATGGACAAGTTGAGTTTTGGCTTTTAAAACCCTAGTTTTAGGGTTTTCTGCATAAGTATCCCCATTAATCTAATGCTTTGATATACCTTGTTTGAATCATTAAGAATATTGATAAATGTTGAAATATGCACATTTCAACCTTTGATCTTGAGTATATTAGGACCTTATTCTATCTTATATTCCCGCTTTAGTCTTATTTTACGTTTTTTTGCTTTTTAGGTGCATAAGGTTGGAATGAGCTAACTCAGTTGAATTAGAGCCTTGGGAAAGTCAACCAAAGTCTTGGTGAGAAGATGCAGCAAAATGAAAACAAAAGATGCAAAAATTTCCTATTCAATCGATCCAACTCTTCTATTATCGATCATGGTATGATCGATCCAACTCTGCTATGATTGATCATAACCTTTGTTCTTATCCACATAATTGCTTTTGTCTTTAACTTCATAAATATCTTCCATGAGCTGTGATTGATCCAAATCTTCTATGATCGATCATATGTTTTGTCCTTATCTTCATAAATATCTTAGCCTTTATCTTTATCCACATTATGAGCTGCCATGCTATGATCGATCGAACCATACCTGCAATTAATTGAACTTGCCTTGAAAATTGTGTAAAACAGAATTGAAGCCCGATTTTAGGGGAGCTCGTGGTGCAATCATTTGGGAGCCTCATGCACGAGGTTTGACCATTTGAGGTGTCAATTGAGTCACCTGTATAAAGGAATTAGCCTATTTTGACAAGGGGTTGGATAGGATTAGATACATTTTTGGACATTCTCTCTCTAGTTCATACATGCTCTCTCTCTAAGGTTTCAACCAAGACAAAAGAAGAAGAAAAAGAAGAGCCAAGCTTTAGAGATGATTTGTGAAGCAACCTTGAAGACATCCACATTCTCCATAAATGGCTAGTCCTTCACTTAGGGCTTGGATGAGCCCTAAGCATGTGTAATTAAACTCTTGTTCTTCAATTTTTGGGGATTTATACATTGTAATTTGTGCTATAGTCTTGTATAATCAAACTTGGTTATACCAAGGTTTTTATTGATAATTCTTCCTATTGATTCTCTATATTATTTGCATGTTGCCATATATGTAATTAATTGAGGATTAATCTCTACACTAAATGCTTTTACTAATTGTGTTTATAGATGGCCATGTATGGTATCTATTGGATACAATTGTTAATTAGTTTGATGGGTTATGACTTAGTCTCTAAAGGTTGTTCTACACTTTAGTTTACTTATAGTTAGGTAAACAATTTATACTTGATTTTGATAATCCATACTTATTATTAAAATTTGTATTATCCTCTTGATTTATGTGTGCTTGTATCCACATTTTGATTACAATATGTTTTCCTCATTAATTGAAGACTCTTGGTATAATGACATTTGCTTAGTAGTAAATTCCATGCCCTAAGCCCCCTCTTCCTATCTCTAAACACTAATTACTTTAACATTAATTTCAATTTCATTAATTTAATTAATCAATTAAACTTCCTGTCAATCTCAAGTCCACTAATGTCGAATTAGATTCCATCCCATAATCTCTGAGGACAATCCCTTCTCACTTTATACTCATGTATAAGTGTCTTGCGGCTTTTATAAATGTAAAATTTGATGCCCACTTTGCACTCTTCATTCTCAACTCTAAATATTTAAACACATTTTTATGGACACACTAAGGTCGCATCATGTTTTTGGTGTTGTTGCCGGGGATTAAATGGTTTTCAATTTGGAATCAAATTTAATATTGGTGTTCATTTGATTGTAAGAAGGATTAATTTCCTACGCTTTTCTTATTCTTTTCTCTAATGTGTAATTAGGTACTCGATCACAAGAGAAGCGAGCTTTGGATCACAACATTGTTGCTTGGGACCGTTGTGAGCGTTTCTTGAACTCTTGCACCATTATTGTACATTGCTTTATATGCTTGCGAGATAGCCCTTGTCGAGGCTATCACATTGTTTACATTCTTGTCCAAGGATATGTCATTAGCGAGGCCATTTACTTTAATGTTTAAAGCATAGGTCCTTGTCGAGGCCATTTCTTTATTGCATTGTTATATTGAGGAGAATGGGAACATTGTATATGGAGGTTGTGATTTGTTGTTGTGAAGTTGTTGTTGTTGTGCATGCGCGGTAGGAGATCTCTTCACACTCCTCTCATCCCTCTTGACCAAGAGATTGAATCTTCTTTAAGGTAATTAAGTAATAGAACGAGTAGAACTCTTCCCACTCTTGATCATCCCACCAACTCAATGGTACAACAAATTGACCCTCAAGTAGAATAACCCAATCAAGAAGGCCCTAGAGCCAATCTAGTGTAACCTCCTCCTGGAGCTAAAGCTCCTCCTCCTCAAATGGTCCTTTGGGATAATTACATTCCTAATGTCTATGATGCTCCGACATGCTACCAATTGCCAAAATTTAGGGCTAATCATTATGAAATCAAGCCCAGAACCATCCAAATGTGTCCCATTTTCCATGGGTTGAGCAATAAAGAACCATATAAATATTTGAGTGAGTTCTTAGAAGTGTGCTCAACCATGAAGATCACGGATGTCCCCGAAGAAGTTTTGAGAATGAAACTCTTCCCTTTCACTCTTCAGGACAAAACTAAGTATTGTTTCCATAACTTGGGGGCATACACTATCACATCTTAGGCTCAAATGTAACAAGAATACTTAATGAAGTATTACCCTGCAAGTAGGACTAATACAATGAGAACTTCAATTCATGAATTTTTCCAAGGTGATGGAGAGACATTACATGAAGCTTGGGAGCGTTTGAACGACTTGCTACGAAAGTGTCCACATCATGCACTTCCTAAGTGGCAATTAGTTCAATGTTTCTACGAAAGCTTATCCGACACTTACAAAGGTATTTTCGATGCTTCATATAAATGCACATAGTTGCAAAAGCATGAAGACGACATTTGGATTCTTTTTGAAAATATGAGTGAAAATTCCATGTATCATTCGTCATCTTCTAGGTCGGGGCGTGTTTATAATGTTGGGGGAAAGAAAATCATAAATCTATATCAAGTAGAAAGCTCTTCGAAGATTGCCTTCGAGGTTAAGACTCTCACTCAAAAGTTTTATCAATTCCTCTCAAGTCAAAACCCAGCAAGCCAATTATCCTCTTCTTTCCACCCTCAAAATGAGAATTGCATTTCTTGTTCTAACGCTACTCACAATACTTCCAATTGTCCTCTTGGGCATGTTTTATCGAGTGAACACCAAGAACAAGTCAATACCGCATTCACCCCATGAACAAGTCAATGCTGCATTTACTCTTTCGGGGAATAATCCATATTCTAACTCATCCAATTTGGGGTGTAGGGATCATCCTAACTTTTCTTGGAGAAATCAAGGAGGAGGTACCAATCCTCCGCTTATTCAAAATTCCCAGGGAAAGTATGTGCCTCCCCACCTTCAAAATCAACAATATCAAGCATATCATCCATCATCATCATCATCATATCATCAAAATATGACTCATTCTTCTAACCATCAAGCTCCAAATCAAGCGTACTATCATTAACCTCAAGCTACTCCAAGGAATTCCGCTTTTGAGGACAAGGTTTTGGCCATTTTAGGCAACCTGAAGGCAAATACTCAAATACTCCACTCTCATTCCCAATCAATTACAAAGCTTGAGTCCTAAATTGGGCAAATCACAAATTCCATGAATGCAAGGGAGAAAGGAAAATTTCCTAGACAACCCGAGCCAAACCCTAAGGCTCATTTCATAGTGGAAACAAATCCTTTATCGGGATTTTTAACCTATTAATAGGTACAAGCCATTTCCACCTTGAGGAGTGGGAGAAAAGTTGATAACATGGTTGAGTTGCCTAGTGAAGTTAGTGATCTCGTGCAACCAAGTGCTTGCTCGCTCTCCATTCCCAAGTCTATTCATACTTCATTAGGGACAAGTGGTCACATTAAGGATCAATCACCATCATCATCATCATCAGTTCCCAATCTAGAGAAGCCTTATAAGCTGAAAGCTCCATTTCCTTAAGCATTGAGAGATTATTCTCCATTTGGGAGATAAGAAAGCAAGATCCATGATATGATAGAAATCTTCAAACAAGTGAAAATTAACCTTCCTCTTCTTGATGCCATTCGAAAAATTCCTCCTTATACCAAGTTTTTGAAGGACTTGCGTACACAAAAGAGGAAGTGCAAGGGCTTTTCACATAGCAAGTGAATTCAATCATTAAGCATAACACTCTGATAAGCGTCAAATATTGCATATTTAAGCGCCCTTAATTGCATTAGTTAAGCCCATTATTTGATCTGTGTATACAGATTAACTAAATTTTTATGTTTTTATGTTTTTGCAGGTCTTATTGCAAAAAAGGAATAAAATTAAGGTTTTAAGGGCTTTTCAAGCACAAGTCATATTGGGCCTAAATGGCCCTAATAGGCGATGGATACAACCAGCACTGTAGAAGAAAAGAAGAAGCCAAGCAGCATACCTCAAGTCCAGAAGCAGGAATTGGCATCCGGACGACAACTATCAGAGCTTCGCATCTAGACGCAAGGTTACGGGCCCCATTTTGAATAAGTCAGAGTTTGTTCCAGATAAAGGGGGGATTTGAATTTTGACAAGTTATTTTGTTTTGAAACTCATTTGGGGATAAAGAGAGGGCAGAGGCTTGAATCAAGTTAGTTAGTTTTGGATTCTAATAAAAGATCGTGAGGGAGAGGATTTTCCTTAGGGTTCTTGAGCTGAGTTTTGCAACAATGCGGAAAGAGGGAAAATATTTCTCTTCTTCAATCCTTGAAGTTGCTACCATATCCATGAGAGGCTAACTTCCTTTCTAGGGAGTTGATGTAGCCTAGACCAAGTAAATATGTTGTAATTTGTATTTCAATTTGGGGATTCTTCTTGTGTATATATTTGATTCCATAAATTAGAAGTATTTACATTGAATGAATGTGTTTTACATTGAATTAATGTATGTGATTACCATTTGAATATAGAATTATGTTGATATGTTTATCTTGTCTTAGAAATCACATTGACACAATTATACACTTGATTTCCTATAGTGATGATGGGAAAGAATTTATTGAATGGTTATATTGGCATGTAATTAAATATTTATATAGATTATACTTAAGGACGATGAACCATGCTACACCTTTAGATTAATTTAGTTAGGTAGATGGTTCATACCAAATGAACATAATTCATGATATTTAACTAATTTCATGTGCTGCAATATGCCATTGAAGGACCTTGATAAGCCATGCCTAGGGAAGATGGTTCATACTACAACCTAGATTAGGTGTATGAACCATGCCAACCAAAGATGGGTTATGCTTAGTCCTGAAAGGTATGATTTTCTTGAAGATGTTATGGTTGTTTTATACTTTTACTAGGGACCAATGACTTTCCAAGAGATTTACTTACAAAATTTGAAGTTTTGAGGACTTTGGGTAAGTTTTTGAAATTTCTAGTTTAGTCATTGTTTGGCCCTTGTTGAGGCTATTGCAATTTCCTGTTTTATTCAGAGCATAAGTCCTTGTCGTGTCTAATTTAATCTGTTTTCATTATTGTTGGATTGAGGAGAAAGGGATCAATGTATGTGGATGAATTGGCAAAGGGTTGTTGTGATTGTTGTGTTTGATAGTTGATGGTAAGTCGTAGATCATTGTCTTTACCACATCTTGAGGAAGCAATTGATATTGTTTTACTTGAAAGAACTCTTAGGCAACAAAGAAAGAACTTTAGGGATCCCGAAGCTATAAGAGAACTTGAAATTGAAGTAGACAAAATAGGTGATGAACATGATTATCTTGAAAATGTTAATGCTGAAAATGAAAATTTAGCACCAATGACTCTTAGGGATCACTTTGTACCATCTACATATATATCTCCATCATGCATTGTCATGCCCAATGTTAAGACTCATCATTATAAGATCAAATCTACCACAATTCAAATGCTTCCAACATATCATGGGTTTAATAATGAGGACCCTTACAAATATCTTGGTGAGTTTTTGGAAATCTGCTCTACCATCAAGATGAGGGACTTCCCCCAAGCTGCACTTTATATGCTTCTCTTCCCATTCTTTTTGAAAGATAGAGCAAAATATTGGTTGAACTGTCTTATTGGAAATTCCATTACTTCATGGGTCCAATTACAACAAGAATTTCTTAAAAAGTACTATCCTGTGAGTAACACCAACATAATGCGTTGATCCATTCTTAGCTTCTCCTAAATTGATGAGGAAATATTCTATGAGACGTGGGAGAGACTTCAAGATTTTCTGAGGAAGTGTCCGTACCACCAAATTCCTAAGTGGCAATTGGTGCAAGCCTTCTATGATGGTTTAATAGAACCACATAGACAATTAATTGACTCTTCGTGTGGGGGCATGTTCATGTCCAAAAATCCAGATGATGCACGGACTCTACTTGAGAACATAAGCTAAAATTATATGCAATATAGTTCTCGTAGAGCTTCTACATCTAATGTGGTTAAACCCTCAAATTCGTATCAGCCACGAACTTTTAGGGAAGAATCTTCTCAAGTGGATGCCATAGCCCATAAAGTTTTTCAGCTTGTGGCACCATATCTCTCATCTTCTCAGAATTCTTCATCTAGTGCTATGTGTGCTCATTGCACAATCACTTTTCACAATACAGAAGACTACCCTGCACCGGAGCAATTTTCTGAAGGTATGCAAGAGCAGGTTAATGCCATGTTCTCTCGCCCTGAAAATAATCCTTATTCTAATACATACAATTCGGGTTGGAGAAATCATCCAAATTTCTTGTGGAGGCAACAAGCCTTACCAAATTCATCATTCCAAGGCCATGGGCAATCAACTCAATCAAATTCTTAGTACATTAACTGGCCATTTCAAGCTTCTTCAAGCTACCATCTTCCTTCCTATAATGTATAATTTTTCTAATCAGAATCCTGTTCTTTCTCAACAGTCCCAATTGGATGGGCTAGTAAAATCCAACAAGCAAATAATGGCTGCTATTAGTGGTATGCAATCAACTACGCAATTGGTTAGTACTCATTCCCAATCAATAGCCAATATTGAAACCCAATTGGGACAATGGCTAATTCAATAAATTAGCTTAACAAGAAGGATACAGGAAAACTTCCAGCTCAACCTGTGGTGAACCCGAAAGAGTAATATATGATTGATGAAATCACTCCTCCGAGTGGAATAAATCTTGAGCAAATTCAAGCAATCACCAAACTTCGGAGTGAAAGAATTGTGGACAATAAGGTTAATAAAAAAATTGAAACCCTTGCTCCCAAGGATCCAACTTCTTTATCCAAAAATTTGAAAGATAGTTCAGAAATTCCAAATCTACCAATCCAAAAGGTTAAGACATCTAATGAGCCCAAGGCCCTTTTCCTCAATGCCTCATAGAGTCCACACATTTTAGGAAAAAGAGTGATAAAATTTAGGAAATGTTTGAAGTCTTTAAGCAAGCAAAGATCAACATTCCTCTCCCTGATGCCATTAAGCAAATTCCAACTTATGCAAAATTTCTTAAAGATTTGTGTACTTAAAAACACACTTCTAAGAGCAATATTCCCAAAAAGGTGAGGTTAACTGAGCAAACAAGTGCTATCATTTAGCATAATACACCTCCGAAGTTTAAGGATCCGGGTGCCCCAACAATCTCATGTGTCATTGGAGACAATGAGAAAGGAAAAGCCCTCCTTCACTTAGGATCAAATGTAAATCTGATTCCTTACTCAGTATAATTGCAACCTGGTTTAGAAGAACTCAAATTAACTTCGGTTGTCTTGCAACTTGCGGATAGATCTGTAAAACAA